ATGTGGAAAGAAGGGATGGTAGGAAGCCATCCAACAGGGCAGTGGAAAGGTAACAGCCTTTTTGCAGAGTGGCAGTGAAAGAGGGTTATGCTTCAGGCCTCAGAGAGTTTTTATGCGCATTGAACCCATGGGTCTTTACCATGAACTTTTCAGTATTGTCCCATTAGATAGTTTCAAGCACCTTGAAATACAGTGCTTGCAATAGCCTGTCTGTTTTTGACAGATCAGGCCAAGTCCTATGGTCAAAACCACTTGGTCAGCCTGTTTATCCAGCAAGCTGCCTGTAACAAGGGACAATGTTTTAGTATTTTCTCTGTATTGTCTATAGGGAGAAACTATTAGTCTGGAGGAGTCAAGAATTGGCATTTCCCTGTAGTCACTGAGTCTGTCTCCACACAGGCCAAAATGTCCAAGTTTTCTTCTGGTTACACATCACTCCATAGAACAGCAGAAATAATTGGTGCAAACATTAGGGAAAAAAGGAAGACATGTTGGGGGGGTTGGGACTAGATGATCTCTAAGGTCCATTCCAACCCTTAAATTCCATGATTCTATGGTTATATTGTGTTGGAGCTTCAGGAGCTGTTGCCTTGTTCCCCCCTGCTTACACTAACGTAAAGTAAAAGTAATGTCTTTGAGGTTAGCAAGGTTGCACCCCACTGAGGCTGGTGCATGAAGAAAAACAAGTTCCCAGTTTGAATGCCAGAAGAAAACTCAGATTTTTGCCTGATTGTTTCACTGTGAGTGAATATGTGCAACAGAGTGGCCTGAGCTGTTCTAGCTGCCAGCAGGTGCAATTAGTTATTATACCCCCTCTATATGTTGCTCACTTACAGATGTTCACACCTGTCCCTTGATTAATTCAAAATCCCAACACACGTAGAGAACTCTTATTAAGAGACACAGAATCTTATGGACCTGGTGGTGACTGGGGTTGATTTTCACATGTGAGATGCTTATCCTCCACTGAATTCCCTGGGGGTGGAATGAATTCAGTGTCTCCAGCTGGATGACACCATGCAGGAGAGCTTAGCTCAGGAAAGACTGAAGAAAGCACAAAACCCATCTCAGTGCCTACTTAGGCTGAACTAAGGGCAGCAACACTTGTGACTACATTTACAAGATTAAAGGAAGGAAGGGTAGTTGCTGATTTGTGCACTAATTTTGGGGTAATTATAGATCATATCTCAGGGCACAAAATAATAATCCTTGGGTAAAAAAAGAGTTCTTTTCTCCTTTGTGTGGTACTGCATGTTTGGGTAGATACTGGCTTATCACTAATTAGTGAATTCCTTTTGCAAGTTTTGACTTGTGCCAGCATGGTAAATTATATCCAAGGTCATGGCTGTCCCTCTACTTGCATATTTATAAAAATATCCCCAAAATTCTGTAAAGTCAGTGAGATGATAACAGAGGGGGCTTAAGCCTCTGATGTTTCATTTTCTGCAGCATGCAATTCCAGTTAATTCCCAGGTATTCCCAAGGCTCCAGTCACACTCCCAGTTTGAAAGGCTTTCCAGGAAATGCTGGAAAGATGTGGGGACAGCACCCTGCCAAGTGCCATCTGTTGGCCGTTTACTATACTGCTTTGAGGATGCACAGTTTCTGAGTGCCTGAACCAAACACTGATGATGTAGCCTAAACTAGTCTCTTCAGATTCAAAACTACAGTTTAACATGTCATTTGAGTAGGTGTACTCCATAACGGAAGCTTTTACCTAGTTCCAGTCTCTTCAGACTCCCAGTGTAGTTTACCCTTGTTTTCTTAGTACCTGAGAGAAGATGTAAGATTTCTGGTTAATGGTTCAGCACATGATCATATGTACAGAAAGGTTTTGCTGTGATTTGTGAAGCATCTTCCTTTTTGCTGAAGGACAAAGTGATACACAATCACTAGGGAGACCTAAACATAGTGACCCCCACTCAGGCTTGCATTCTCCAGCCTTCTGAGGTGAAATAATCTGAGCTGGAGGAAGCAGATTAGGGTCATGTCACTGGGGTCATGAAGCAGGGAGCAAATATCTCAGCCGCTCTATACTCTCAGAAAGATTCTCTCTTGTTGCCAGAGAACCCCAGCAGGTTATCCCATATTATCCTGGATCAGCTTGTTTCTGTGATATCAGTTTTGGGTGTAGTCTCCATGTAACAATCCTCTGTTGCTAAGTTTGTGCTACTCCTTTAGAAGAGTGGTCATAGTATTTCTTCAGCTCAATTTGGAAGTCCATGAGAGGACTCCCTGTACAAAATGAATGGGGAACAATACATACCATACCTTTCTAGTGTCCTACAGAATTTCTACACTGTCCAGACAGATTGTCTAAATCATTCAAAAAGCTCACTGAAAATATCCTTCAACCAGAATGTCCACTGTCCAGTGACATCACCTAGGGCTCTCACAAAAGAGAAATACTTCCTGATGACTCCTGGGACTGGTATTTTCTCATATACACTCAGCCCAACAGTTTAAGTCCATACCATTGCAGCAAAATGCATCTTCCAGAAATGTTTCCACGTGGCAGGAGGTGTGCTGATGGTTGTGCAGGTGGCATCATCACACTCTGCTGTTTCTTAACCATAGCCCTCTGCTATAATGTGCAAGCTGCTCCAGGAGATGCTGTCCCTCAGAAACACTGTAAACCTGAGACTCAGCCTCCATGATGTTGGGGTTGTTAAAGAGTTTCTGGCATTTGCTTGGTATGGAAGGAATTTTAGATGGTGTGATTTAATTACATTTTTAGCACAGATAATTACTTTTTGCCTCCTTAGGTTTCCCTTGTGGGCAGAGATATCTCTTTCTTTCTTTAAGTGCAGAGAATACATGTAAATTGATGTTTTATTCCTTCACTGGGATTCTTGTACTTACATCATCAGTGAGGACACTCTAAAGTAATCTTTCTGTACCTTCTTTGAAATCCACAGAGCTCTTCCTGAGCTATTTGACAGTGCTTCACATCACTTTATTCCTCTGTTAATAATCTGTATAATACTAGTGCCAGTTTGTTAAAAATCAGGTTCAAAACAGAAACACATTGTTTTGCAGAATGTATTGTGAATTATTTTGATGCAACGTGGGTGTGTACCCTGTTGCAAAATAATACTGCTATTTGCAAAATTCCATCTTTGCCCTATTGTATGAGAACGAGGACTGTATATATACAACATACCTATCCATGCATGAGATATTTTTGCAAAAAAATGGCCACCTGCCTCAACCTGCCAGCCTGGCCTTTTAAACTAGTTGAACCTCATCTTTTTATTTGCTTATTTTTTGAGCAAGTTTTCCCCTTCTTCTACGCCATAGAGGTGGCTGTGTCATGTGCTCTATTCTGCAGTTTGCTTCAATTACTTTCCTTGATAACATATTTCATATGTTTAATATCACTATCATTCAGTAGCCTAGAACATTTTCCTCACCAAGTGTTGCATGGTTATCTTCCTGGGAAATATAATTTTTCAAAACAAGTCATTATAAGAGCATATAAAAACATGAAATGGTGCTCCAAATAGCAAAATAAAATACTGCTCATTGTTTCTGATGACAAAGATATCAAAGGCAAAAAAGAAGTATGTTGTTTAAAAATAACCAACTCTTCAGTACTAGTTTGGGAAAATGTTCAGTTAACTGGAATGTAGTTTTCCAGTGAGCCTGTCTAATCTGAGATTGAAATTATGAGCTGAATGAATTTTTCATTTCTGTTTTTAAAATTTATATTCTTTACTCTGTTTCCAGCATTGCTTGTTACTGTTTATATTTTATGTTTGGGGTCCTTTTCTCAGGTGTTTCCAAAACTTTACAAAAATGCCAGATATCATGTTGGAAACCCAAAGCCCCAAATCAGGCTATAAATCACAACAAACCATAATATATATGTGGTTTTATATATAAACCTTAAAAAAAGCCACTGTACTGTTCTTTAATACTTTCTGTGTTGACTTTCCTCTTCTATCCTTTCACCACTCCCAGTTGGTAAAACTGAAGTATCTTACTTGGCCTGTTTACTTTGCAGACTCAGAGCAGAGCACTGGGTCAGACACAGATGTGCTGGCAGAAAGGACATCCTGCTCATTTGGCTCCCATTCTGACCTTACATCTGGTGGCTCAGGACCTCAGGCTCCTCCTCCCTCTTCATCCATGGAAGAGATCCAGGTAGAGCTGCAATGTGCTGACCTCTGGAAAAGATTTCATGACATTGGGACAGAGATGATCATCACGAAAGCAGGCAGGTAAGAAATCTCTGGCCTTCTGTCTAGTTAAAAAATGGAAATCATAACAAAACAATCTAAACCCCCTGTTTCTTTTCTTTTCTTGTCTTTTTTCTTTTTTTTTTTATTTTTTTAAGAAACTTTTTTTCTTTCTTGATATGCCAAAGGAATAAATATGCAGGGAAAATTAAATGCCTGACAGAGTTTCACAGCTGTATCTCCTACTAGCTTTTTAAAGACAGGTAAAGTTACCTCATATTGCAGCTCCAAAGGAGAACTGGCAGCTGCAGCAAACTGTTGAGGATAGTCTATCCTTTGAGCAAATAAATTAGGAAGCAATCACTATACTCTTGTTGCACTGAATTTAAGACGAGTTGTGAATTTGGGGGTGAACCATTTGAGTTTCCTTTCAAGTTTCCATAACATTTTGTGAGCCAATTTGTTTAATTTCAAATATAGTGAAATTCAAACTCACCTTTGCACCAGATGAACATCTTCTTGCAGCTTTAAATAGATAAAGTGTTAATGACTTCCTATATAAAAAACGTGCAGGCTTAACGTTTCCATCTGCTATTGCAGATGATACCACGTCAGCTGAGGTTAGGAAGAGCTACTAATAAGCCAGTTTTTTTTAAAAAAAAGAAACCCCCACTCTGTCACGCTGTTAGCCAAGGGGAAGATCTTCATTGCTGTCAGCTATTAAAAAACGGCTAGAAGTCTGTTTGCCAAAGCACAAACTGAAGCTAGTTGTACATTTCTAGATTCTTCAAACTAGGATTTTTCGCTACGTTTGTGTTTACAGACTGTTCCACTTAATGAGGGTTTAATTGAGATTGACGCGACGAAGGAGAGCGTCAGCACCACGGACAGAGCCGCACGGCGGGCAGAGCCCGTGGCTGCCCCGGGAGCTGTCCCCGCCCCGCCGCGGGGGTGCAGCAGGGAATTTGACGCAAATTTTGGAGAAAACTCACTATGCTCTATTGTTTATAGGGTTGTTTCATATCTGTGCTCTCTGAATTTGCCAAAACAACTAGACTTGTTGCTTGATAATCTTGTGAAATCTCTGAATTTGCCAAAACAACTAGACTCGTTCCTTGATAATCTTGTGAAGTTAGCAGTATTGCTCTGTAGCCCGAGAAAGTCCAGATAATTTGAGGAAAGTTATAACCCAGATGATTCCTGAAGAAGATTTTGCTCTGTAGCCCGAGAAAGTCCAGATGATTCCTGACGAAGATGATCAGAGCCAGATTAGATCCCAGTTTTAGAAATAGGAAACACCTTGCATCGCTACAGAGTGAGCTGCTGGGTTTGTCCTTCTGCCTCAAATGGAAGAAGAAAAGTAATAGGAATTATGTCACTTGCTATTATGCAACACCTTTTCTGTGGAGATGTCAAAGCAGATACAGAGAAAATTGTTATTTTCATAGGGGATGAAACTGAGACTTAAACAGATTAAGTGATATGTCCAGAGTCATTAAATATGGCACTGGAAGAACCAAGTTCCTTGTTTTGTCCTAGTACCTGGGCCTTGCAGTCTCAAAAACTTAAAAGAATATATTATTACCTGTTGGATTAACTATGATTAAGTCTCTTATGATACATGGAGTAGACAGACTTCTGAGCATTGTAGTTTGAATTGGTGTGACGTGCTCTGAGATATTTATGCTGTTCTTAACTTAGTGGTGTGAAGATGATCTCAGCAGCTTGCACATATCTGAATGAATTGGGTGACCTTTCTGACAAGCTCCAGTCTTGATAACTTTTCCACTTACAGAAAAAGTCATATACTTACCATGTATCACAATAGAGTCATAACTTTCTGTGAAAATAATGCATCCTCTACCAGTTTAAATAATATTCTTTGTCCCTGAAAAGAGATGCTTATCATTACTTGAGTCCTGCTGGCCAACTGAATTATCACTGGCTGCTCACGGAAAATCTATGTAGCTACTAACTATAGGTGTTTTTTCTGCTTGATGACATTCTTCTCCAGAAGTGATGTTAACAACATTGGAGTTGGTGTTGTTAACAATATTGGACTTGGTGTTGTTCTTTGGCGGTTTTGTTTGTTTGTTTGTTTTCTTTTTCTATTGACTACATTTGTAAGTTAAGCATTGCAAAACGTGATGAAGAGTTGGGCAGTTTCTTTAGCTGATACATCTGTTTGTTAGGGATGGTCCTTGCAGATATGATAAAATTTACAAATTAGATGTTTAACCCCTCAGGTTAAACATTTTTCTTTCAGAGAAAATGTGTCTGTGATGGGTGAGAGCTGAGTCTAGCAACCCTATTTCTCCATGAGAGATGCATGATGCATGATGCATCCCATAGATTAGATTGTATGATTTCTGGCAAAAATAGCAGAACACGTATTTTCCTGAGGATTTCCTATTACTTATTGAAATTGTGAGAGATGCATAGAGTAATTTGCATCTGTTTCCTTCTCCAGGGATTATTTAGCTCTTGTTGCTTTCTCTTTGCAAACCCTGTTTGAATCCTGTAAGGCCTTCTTGTTTTGAAAGCCATTATAATTACAGGTGCAGTTACCTATAACTACAGCTGCTCCTCAGTTTTGGTTTTTTTTATTTACAAGGCACTGTATGGTTCCTGCCTGACTCCACAATGTCTTTCTGCTCTTGCTGTGTAATGCTAGTTTCTAACCTACATTCTCATTTCAAATACATTTCTGGAGCTATATCCTACCTATATCAGGCCAAGATTTTGACTTTCAGACTTCCACTAACATTTAATTCTGCTTTGATTTTTCTTTTCTTGATGCTCTATTTATAGATGTCTTTTTTTGGTCTGTTTCCATAAACTTACTCCAGCTCTCTTAAAACTTTTCCTTTCTTCATGTCCATCAAAACATTTTGATTCAGATTTTAATCAAATGCTTATAACAAGATTCTTTTCTTGTGCAAAAGCTGCAAATGGCTCTCAGCTGCAGTGCATTCAAATCTGCGATCACCTTTGTCCCCTTTTTGTTTAAAAGGTGACCTTAGACTATGTGCAAAATAAAATAAAATAAATTCAGCTTATGACCCATATGTCATCTATCATGTCACAGTTATGATATCTGTACTGTAAGATGGCTCCAAACAAAGTGCTGAGGCCAGGCTCAGTAAGAGAAGTGGAACAAAGCAGCAGTTAGTGGAATGGGTGACTTTGTCCTCTCCTGACTCCTTGGTGCCTCCTGATTGGTTGGATGGTATTTTGCCTGGAATTTCCTTGCCTCCCTGAAATCATGAGTCTAGTTGTTTGAAACATGTACTTGGGGCTGTTTACATTACCAAGTGTTAATTTTTATTTCCTATGGAAAAAGGGTGGGCTCCACAGTGCTCTTCAGTTAGAGACAGCAGCAGGGATTTTGTAACAAAGATCTATTGATGCCAAAGAGGCCCATTGCGAGGACTTCTCAGAGCAAGAGCTGGCAGGCTACAGCTCCCAAACTGCTGCTTAGAGATCCTGGCCCAATGGGCCAGATAAACTTTCTCCAGCTTCCAGAAAAAATGTCCCCTTTGGGAGCAACTGAGAAGATCTGTTGGTTGCCCTCTACCTCAAACAATAAATCCTTTTGCTTCCAAGCCCTACCCTCAGACTTTCCTCTCAAAACAAACATCTCCTCTACATGATCCTGTGCTACAGAGGGAAACAGAAAGGCATTCCCCTATTGCCTTGCCTTGCTGTGCCTTGCCTTCCTTCACTTTCACACCTCACAGGTTTGTTTTTATAAAAAAATGTACCTTTGACATCAGTCTTAAATGCAAGGAAATATGAGTTATAAAATAACAATGATAACTTCAGGCTGCCCTGTAAACTTATACACATTGTAAACATATATTCACACTTAACCTGCAAACCTAAATCAGATTATTTTGCAGAGTCTCTCAATCAGATTTTTTATGATGGAGAAATGACTACTCTGTCTATTACTGTCAATAGATGAATTGTCCTTTGCTACATTGAAGGGCACATCCCTTCATTTTAGGGGTTTATGTTTAACAGATGTCACCCTTATGCAAATCTAATCTTATTTAAGTTTCTGATTTAAGGGTTAGAAAATGAAGCTTTATTTTGTTAGGAGGAGAAAAACCAATTTGGGGATATACTTGTGATCCTCTTTTGAACAGTTTTCACAAAGGAAAATTGAAGTATTTTTTTTGCGTTAAATGAAAATTTTAAAAAACAACAACAACAAAAATTATGCTAGCTGCAACAATTCAACCACTTCTTTCTATTGCTGAAAGTTCCCAAACTTGGTGCTTAATATCAACATACTAGAGTGCCAGCAAGAGCTATTTTAATCAAGTTTAAAAATGTTTATGTATTGTTAGTTTTCTTCATATTTGAGGTTCATAAACCTCATTCTCATTGTGGAAGAAAAGGAGAATTGAGTAAACTGAGACACATTGTTACAAAAATGCTTTAAAAAACACTTCTAAGTGATCCTAAAGTAATTGCAATAAGTTATTTCATATCACATCGCATTTCCCCTCAAAGGGTACTGTGTGTAAGTTCA